TAGTGCATGCCTTCACCTATTAATTAAATTAATTAAAGTCAGATAATATTATTGAAGGAGATATAAATTTATCTATGGTTGAACCTCTACAAAATAATGGAGTTGGAATTAGCAAAATTCGATTAATTTAGAAAAATATTAAACTATCAAACTAAAAAATTAGTAGATTTTTAACGAATCGAGACAAAAAAAAATTACTATTTAAACAAGATTATTAATTTATTGAGGTTCTACTGGAATTTATATTGTTTTAATGATTTATCCAAGCATAATATATAAAAGGGTAAATTACAATCACCCCCCTGAGGTATGGTCAAATTACAAAACCCCCCCTCTTGTTTGGATAATTACAACCACTCCCCTCAACTATAAATCTTTTTACACGTCCACCCTTGTAGTTTCAAAGTTCGTCGAATTTACGAGATTATATGGATTATTGTCACTTTTATACCCGTTTTATCCGATTCGAACTCCACATTTTGAAGCAAGATGATCATAATATGTGTTTTTAAGCTTGTATATATCAGATTGTGGTGCATCAGAAACTGTATTTTTACACAAAACGAGTACAAACTATAGCACATTTCACGAATCTAGATGATTATGTTGAATTTGATACCATAAGAGTGGAGGTGTAAGAAAAAATCATAGCTGAGGGGGTGGATGTAATTATCCAAACAAGAGGGTTTTTTTTTGTAAATTGACCATACCTCATGGGGTTGGTTGTAATTTACCCTATACAAAAAGAATTATATATAATTAATGTGAGTTGTTGTTAGGTGAGTGTCTGCTTTATTCAGGTGGGGGCACAGTGTATCTATGTTACTGACAATTAGCTTAATGACGAAGAATCAAAGAAGAAAAAATGAGATTAATTTTAAAAGTGTGCTTAGCCAATTAATGACACCCCAGCCCAAATCATGTGGCTTACGACGACGTATTGCCATAAAGTTGGACAATGTGTGGAATATTCAATATATACATACACTATGTCATTGCTTTTCTCTCTCATAATTTAATTTCCCCATTTTCTTGTGGATCTATTATCTATCCACGTAATAATTAAAATCAATAATTTATTCGAAAGTAATAATATTTAATTAATCTTCACTTAGAATATTTTAAAACCTGAAAAAAAAAAAAAAAAGGAATTATCAACACAAACACATGCATAACACCTTATAATAAAAACAAAAGTTCGAGTTACCAGGTTCTGAAATTCACGTGTACATTCGTCCTTTCTCCAACATTAATTTGTTAAGTTGTTATATATTTCGTTGTGGGCTCGTTTGATTACCGTTATAAGGTTCTACAGACAAAAACTTGGTCGAACACTGTGTATTAGAATTCGATTGTCCTATATATCGTGTGCATAATGAATGTATTAACGAGATTATTCCCAATCAAATA